AATCTTTATTGAACAAGTCAGGATACAATTCTCAAGAAACAGAAAAGGCACTAATCCAATCACCGAACGCGCATGGCCAGTCTCTACGTAAGGCCCTCGAGCTAGCCCTAGTAGGCGTACGAGAACAAGTCAGGATACAGGATACAGATCACGAGTGTCAGACTCGTGATCTGATTGGCTATTGAAACCTGACTGTGCCCGTTCACTTACAGCGCACAGGGGCCTGCTCTGTTTAATCTGAAGGCCCCGAGCAAATGTAATTTACCTGGCAATACAGCTAGCTGAAATATGATTGGTTAAAAACTCTACCATAATAAATAACTTATTTATCGAGTGGCTTTCAATGTTCTTTAAAATAACATTGAAAGCCACTCAACTAAGTGGAAATAATACAACGAAAAGAATACAGAGAATAATTTTGTTTACATATTTATGAAAATAAAATACAGAAATTATAAAATAACATAAAATACATAAAAGTAAATTTACTTTTCTGAGAATGTTTAGGCCAGCAGAGAAGGCCTTGCTGGCCCTCAGGGTCCGCCACTGCTCAATATCATTCCAATCCAAAATTTCTTCTCCCAGAGAACACGCGCAACAGTCTCTGACAATTTTTGTCGTCACTTTTGTTTGTTCCATGCAAATGTGAGTTTTGTTTTCTGAAATGATTACCAACAAATTTTCCCACATGCAACTTTCCTATCCTTATGTATTATTTTGAGCCATAACCTGTTGTGGTATGGGTTGCATCCACAGGTACCGTATGTCTGTCCTTTCATCCGTCAGTACATACGTCTAACTATAATTATTTGGCCTATATGTATCCATGTGAGCTGTTCTCTTTTCTCTTTTGGTTCTCATTTTAACTGAACTGCACATGCTTGTATATATTTGCACCTGACTAATATTTTCACTTTTAATTCTTAATTATTTGAAGCAAATAAATAAGCTCATCCATCCGTAAAGAGTGTGATTAAACCATATGCATAGCCACGCAAAGAGTAGTTGTGGCCACAAACACAACTCTGGCCCTGACCATATTGCAGACTGGGTCACAATGGTCGCAGATGTGCTGGTCTAAGATCATGCAGCCAGCTTCTTGCCAGCGCAGCCCATCTCGCCCACAAGTTGGGCAAGTCCCCTGTACACAGAAACCAAGGAATTACCGGGGCCCCAGCACCGAGAGACTGCCGCGAAGCCAGGAACTCGCACAGGCAAAGTGCCCTGGCACACCACGAGGGCAATGGGCAATCTTATTTCATCTACTGATGTGGAATTAAATGCCCATATTTTGTTCGCTTCGAGTACCACAAAACAATATGTGATTGAGGGCAGCTTTGAATGATCCCAAGCAAAGGCTTACAGGAATACCGTTGATATCGATGTGTTGACCAAGCCCTCTGTGGACCATTACTGTTGCACCTGTGCCGTGATGTCATGTTACCATCTGTGCAAGACCAAAGTGGCACCATGCGGGTCATGTTAAAGCCACATGGATCACAGAGGGGAAGTAAAAATAACAGCTTTTATGAGTCCTCAACCGATTTGGGCTAATGCTGTGCACATACTCATGCAAATGCAGTGCAGTGACTCCTGCAGATATGCTGATGATAGCCAATTATGAGTATTCGCCACAATGAATTACCACGGCCACGTGTAAGTTAAATATCTTTAAAATATGTTAAATATCTGATGCAATTAGCCATTACCACTGAATTTTCAACGTGATCACATACTTTGAAGACAGAGGAAGTCATCACCTCAGGATGTCCTCGACAACAAATGAACCTGCCCCTCTCTTATCATCCAACAAAGTCAAGTACAACTTTATTGTCATTTACAGCACAGATGAAATCTCCTCCCTCTTAAACAGACAACATACAACAAGAGGAGCCGCTGCGGGTGCGCGCGCCGCCATCAAGAGAAAAGTTAACATAAATTGACAAAAGAATACAAGACAACACATTAGACAGAGACAATCGTGCAATCTTAACCACTTTCCTGCATACACTTTGTTTTCTGAAGCAGTTTGTCAGAGATGTTTGCTCGGACAGTTGAACAAACACACTCAGGAAGAGATTGTCTTTTCTGCCGGCAGGAGGCGCAGTTTTCTATGAAGCCACTCCGTATGTGCTTCTGAACTGACACCTGACCTCTGCAGCCTCTGCCGGCTTTTTTTGTTGATCGTGTATGCAAATTACAAGTGATATATCAGAAAAACACTCCCTTCTTCATTTACATGTCACACCTCTCAGCCCAGCCCACCGATACGCCCCTCAGAGACCAAAACATCTCTCGGTACAAACAATGGATACCTTGTTAATTCAATGGGTATATTTCACATGAATTGAGACACTGCGCAAACTCAAGGACATCTTATCGTGCTACCCACCCGAAGTTGAATATTCCTGTTTGTACCTATCAGTTAACAAGGCCTCAGTTTCAGTGAGCTCAAGTTGGCCCTTTTTCCTGTGTGCTCTAAACTCACGCTTTTGAGGTCAATCAAGCATACAACAAAATGAAACTTTTAAACATGATAACTTTGAGTTTGTCTATAAATCTTTATTGAACAAGTCAGGATACAATTCTCAGGAAACAGAAAAGGCGCAAATCCAATCACCGAACGCGCACGGCCAGTCTCGACGTAAGCCTTTCTAGCTAGCCCTAGTAGCAGACGAGAACAAGTTAGGATACAGGATACAGATCACGAGTCTGAGACTCGTGATCTGATTGGCTATTGAAACCTGACTGTGCCCGTTCACTTACAGCGCACAGGGGCCTGCTCTGTTTAATCTGAAGGCCCCGAGCAAATGTAATTTACCTGGCAATACAGCTAGCTGAAATATGATTGGTTAAAAACTCTACCATAATAAATAACTTATTTATCGAGTGGCTTTCAATGTTCTTTAAAATAACATTGAAAGCCACTCAACTAAGTGGAAATAATACAACGAAAAGAATACAGAGAATAATTTTGTTT